GATGATGATGATGATGATGATGATGATGATGATGATGATAATGATAATGATAATGATGATGATGATGGTAATGATGATGATGATGATGATGATGATGATAATGATAATGATCATGATGATGATGACGAAGATTTAGGTGATGATGATGACGACAGCGCATTCAAGAAGATGGAAGATCCTGATGCCAAACCCCCCCCCTCTCCCGCCCCTCCCTTTCCCCCCCCCTCCCCCACCAACCTCCCCCCCTTCCCCCCAACACACGGCCATACCAGGAACGCTTCCGCGCACTCCAGCAACGGTCCACCCGGACAGTACTCCATCAGCAACACCACGGGCATCTGATCCAGCTCCGAAACCAAGTCCTCAGCGCTACCGCACGTCCCGCCACTGACGGCGCCGGTGCTAGTGCTGGCGGCTACGGCAGTGCCAGCGACACCGACGCTGCTTTTAGTGGCGGCGGTGTGGGTGTGGGTGTTTGCGACGCTGCCGCTGCCGGTGCCGGCGGCTGTGGCGGTGGGTACGGCAGTGAGTACGGCAGCTTCTGCCCCCCGCCGGTCGATTAGTCGCTTGCACGCGTCCTTGAGCGCCTTCCATTCCTCAGAGCTGGGACCCGCCTTTGCCGCGACATACATACGTACATACATACATACATACATACATACATACATACATACATACATACATACATACATACGAAGGAGGATCAGGAGGATAGGAACGAACAGTGTTGTTGTTGCGTGTGCTGCCCGGGACACGGTGGTGAGAAGAAAGGAGATGATCGAATTGATGATGTAAATCATCGCGATGACTATGATGACTATGATGACTATGATGATGATGGTGATGCTAATGTAAAAATAAGAAGAACATTGTACTGATGATGATGATGATGATGATGATGATAATGGCATTCTTATGCCAATATACATAGAATGATTGAAGAGCGGACAAGCACGGTAGTGTACAGTACGGAAAAACCCTAAAGCCCAACCTACCCTAACAAGTCCCCCCCCACACACACCACCAGCCTTCAAAAACCCTAAGGTTGGTATCTATCCTACCTGCCGTACGATTCTACAATCTGGTGCGCAGATATCCAGATGCCGAGTCAGCTCATTTGCGAACCTGAAGAGACCCCGGGGGGGAGAGGGGGGGGGGAAGACGAACCACACACGATTGAAGCTGCTGCCAGGGTAAGACAGGGGGAAAGACGAACGAGGGTAAGGTGGGGAGATCATGTGCAAGAGGGAGGGGGGAAGGTTACATTACGGTGATTTTCTATTGTAAAAAGAAAAAATCATGTAAAAGCAGTGTTGAAGGGGTGAACAACACACTTAGGGTTTGTAAGGGAGGGGGTTGCCATCACCGCCATCACCACCAGTCTTCTGAACGAGTTGGAACAAAAAGCACTTGTCAGGAAGGCGTCACTAACACATACATACATACATACACACAAAGCGGGCCGGTGGGGAACATCATCATCATCATCATCATCATCATCACCCTTCCCTCTCCTTTACCTCTCCTCTCCCCCTCCCTCCGAAACCACTCACTGCTCGGCCTGCATCAGCAGCCGGTTGGGCCCGAACTTGAGCACCGCCACCCCCTCCGCCACCCCCCCGGGGGAGGCGGGGGCGAAGAAACAGAAAAAAACACGGCCACCGCTGTTCACCTCCAACTAAACCGGGAGGGAGGAGAAAACGGGGGGGAGGGAGGGGCAGGGGGGAGAGGGGAAATATATGCTAGGAGGCAAAATAGCGAAGGATACATTTGCGCGTATAGCTGACGTGTTAAGCACCCAAAACATATGTGTGTGTGGGGGGGGAGGGAATGAAAGAGGGCGGAGTAATTCAAATATGCAAGCGGGGGCCGGAGGGGTGGAGGAGGGGGTATTACAATCAAGGAGGGGTTGGGGACGGGAGAGTGCGACGAAATTTGACGAAAAGAAGCGGGGCGGGTGGGGTGGAAATCTTACGGAAATCTTACGGAAATCACGTCAACAAGAATTCAAGTCGCGGCTGGGTCGGGCTTGGATGGCGTCTTACTTGCCAAACCAAGGAAATTTGAAAACCATTAGCATCTACATCCCTACACACACCTACACCTAGAGACACACACATATATGCCTGCAGCACCCTAAACTTCATCTCCTCCTAATTCTCTTCGTCGCGCCCCAAATCGGAGCAACCCCCGAACCCACATTTCTCCCTTCCTCAATTCCCCCCTCCCCCTCCCCCTCCCCCTCCCCCTCCCCTTCCCTTCCCTTCCCCTCCCCTTCCCTTCCCCCTCCCCTTCCCTTCCCTTCCCCTCCCCCTCCCACTTGCACATGGTGGCCGCCTCCTCCTCCTCCCCCCCCTGCGCCAGGGTGGTGGTGCCCCTCCCGCTCCCCTTCCTTGAGTGACTCCGTAGACACAACTGCCCGCAGCTGAGACCAGTTGATGCTGCGTTCATCTGGGAGGAGGAGGAGGAGGAGGGTGGGGCAGGGTAAGCAAAACAACGGAGCTGGGCGGCGTTCAAATGTGTAAACAACGTAGCGGGTTATTCTATCGGGGGGTTGGGGTTGGAAGGAGAAGGGATCTTCGTCTATGCTAAAATGTTGTATGCAGGCGCATGGTGAATTGGATGATAGATTGGAGAACAGCGGGAAAGGATAGAACAGGGCTTGGACGCAAGGGAGACATCACCTGGGATGGCCTAGAGTGCGCGGGAAGCTTACTTGAACAGCATAACGGGACACATTTTTTGAGACAATATTGCTTTTGATAACATTCCTTACCAATTGGTATCGGTATCCCAGCTGACAGTCTCTCTTTAAAGGTGTGACCTCGAAGCTGAGGCGTCGCTGCGGAACGTTGGATAAAGGTTCCATAATCTATGCGTACACCAAGTGTTTCCTCGAGTACCGCAGCTAGCTCGCGGGCTTCTGAAAGTGTGTTGCCTAACGAAACCAGGGGGACCTGCCATGGCTCCGACTTGTCGCTTGCCATGTTTGACGGATTCGTCAGGCACTGACGCCTTATCGACGTAAGTCCATCAGGTCATAGCGTATGTCAGACCTAAAAGCTCAAGCTGTCGACCCACAACAACTTCAGAGTACGGCATATTAACGGCCTTAACGAGCAATATTCAAAGCTTGTTGCAGGCAGAGTTCCAAGTTTCTTCCTTCAACCTAACCTCTCAGATCCTAATGCCATGCTACATATTCAAGATCAATCCTTACTTCCGATTGCGTTCCTTTGCAAGCGGCAATGCCACCGTTCCGACTCCTCCATCCTTGCGCTAACAATCCCGATATACGAAAATTTCCAGCCTACAGAACCCAGCTTCGTTTCAAAATAAGCATCATACAAACTACTCGCTATCGTACGCGTCGCATGGTGCCCTCCACCTCCTATGCAGCCTTTGCCACAAGCCGAGCCTCTCTCCTTGACCAGCTTAACACCCAACAATTTAAATAGAAGTTACGTAGCAGAGTTAAACCTGTAGATTGAGTCATGTGGAAAAGCTCTGTAGAGCCCTTTGGACGTCTCAATCAGCGTTGGCGTTTGGCCGAAAGCGCAGAGGCAAGCAGGGCCACCGAATTCCTTGAAGAAGCGTTGGATGTCTTGTTGGGCGTACTACCGCTATAAGCGAACGGCATGGGGGCAATATAGCCGGCTGGGCGAACACAGCAAAACGACTACACTGTGTCAACCGTGTCAACCGGGGACGCGGCGCCAAGAATAGGCAAACAGGACCGCAGGAAAAGCTAATATCGTGTGGCAGCATAAGATGCTTCTCGGATGTTCATGCCGTGGAAGCGAGTTTTCTTTGTGAAAACTTCTAGCTTGTGAACGACCGATGTGTACTACGTGCTTTTGCTCTTACAACGTGCCTTCCATTAATATCCGCTACAAGCAGAACTGTCTTTTTATAACATCGGTAACATCGGTATGGAACACCGGTATCTCTTGATGCGTTTTGCATTATTAACGTTTTGCTGCATCCGGGGCATGGACACGGTTCGCTTTCTAAGTGCAGGTTTTGTTGCCACAAATGCACGAACTTCCTGCATGTTCTCCTTCTGCTGAATTTGCATGCACGGTTTTTTCATGTGTTCAATCTTGGTTTTCGAAACGCTGACGCTCCGAAACCCAGGTGCTCCGCGTCTTTTATGTTGCATTTTAGGCAAAGTGCCGCCTTGGATCAGCCAGGCTTGGGTCAGGTACACAACGCAACTGTTGTAGTAGCAGAAGGTCAAGATGGACAAGCAGTTATCGGTAAAGTGTGGAGTCGAGCCAGTGACTTCGTTTATGCGGCTTGCACACACGGCGCTGGATGGAACCGTGGAGAGCTTTGTCAACATTTTTGATAATATCTCTGAACGCCTCTGCAAGCGCCAGGAATCCTTTCCAGAGCCTCTTCATGGAATGGTAGGCAAACATATGCCCCAACTGTTCCGATAGCGACGGATGACAGTGCTGTTTGCTCGTTTTGTGAACTACCTAATTCGTACCAGGCGTTATGGCTACGAAGTTTATAGATTTATTGATTAACAATCCGCGTTCATTCGTCCACGGACCCTCAGGCTCCACGAACGCCAAACCGCATTTGTGCGGAACTTGTAACTTGTAACTTAAAATACTTTCAACTTATTTTTCTGTATGTTTAGTAACCAACACAAAACTGCACCGTTGCGTTGATCCCTCGGAAAAACTGTAAACACGGTTTATAAGGTTTGCATATTACTATTCTTCACGTAGTTTCCAGTCGATGTTTCCAGCAGCGACCCAAGAGTGAAGATAGCCATGAAAAGCTTCCATATCCAACGGCGCAGTTTTTGCCCAACCGCTTCATCCCACTTACCCTTCCCAGTACTCTTCACCCAGCTTAGGGTTCTCAACACATTCTTGCCCGCTGCGCATTCCTACATCCGCTGCTGCCGATCGCGATCTGGCGCAGCCATATCTCCATCCCGCTCGTAAATCCCTCACAATCCTCTTTCCTCTTTTCCACCTTCCTCTTTAAAAAATATGTCTAGGTGGCTATCGTGACGGGCGGCAATGCGGGCATCGGCTTCGCGACCGCTCAGCAACTGGCTCGGCGCGGGGCGCATGTCGTACTGGCGTGCAGGGATAAGGCCCGCGCGGAGGCGGCAGTGCAGGTGACAAGCAGCTGCAGTGGACAAGACAGCAGTGCGACTGGCTAAACTTGCCGGACCAGATTCGGATTAACGTTTTTTTATTTACATATATATTTCTGCTGCTTCATCGAAGGGGATATCTTGAGGCTGTAGCTGTATCATTTACTTGCGTCTCGCCCGCGCAGAAACGATTTCCGTGGATCTTGTTTGAAGTGCCGTACATGAACGTGCCGTACATCTCCCGCGCGTGCCCCGCGCGCCATGTACACCTCTTTTTCTCTACGCCACAACATCGCAGGCCATTGCCAGGACTCCACCCCTTCCAGGCTGCGAGCCGCTACCGCCACCGCCGCCGCCGCCGCCACCGTCGTCCCCCAAGACACCGCCCGCCACAGCCGCGACCACCTGCGGCAGTAGCAGTCGCTGTAGCAGTCCCAGGCTCTGCAACGGCATTCGGTCCTCCGCCGCCCCCAACTGCTCTCCTCCTCTTTCTCCTCTTCCTCTTCCTCCTCCTGCTGTTACCGCTGCTGCTGCTCCTCTGCTGAGTGTGGAATCCATGGATCTGGATTTGGGTCGGCTGTCAAGTGTACGGAGCTTTGCGGAGGAGTGGCGGCGCAGGGGCCTGCCCCTCCACCTGCTGGTGTGCAACGCCGGGGTGATGGGACCGCCGCAGCGGCTGGAGACACAAGATGGGCTGGAGGTGCAGTTCCAGGTGGCTAAGGGAGGGGGGAGGGGGGGAGGGGGGAAAGGGGGGGAGGCCTGACCCGAGAGGGATTTGCGCGATGGATTATGCGAACGGGCGCAGTGCTTATCATTATGAGTGCGTTTTTGTTTTAGTTGATCCATTTTCAAACTCCTAAGGTTTAAGTCCTTGAAGTTTAATCCGTCATGATGCTATTGTCGTTGTGTTTTTTGTTGTTGTTGATGGGGTGTTACACTGTGGGGGCGGCTCGTCCCGAGAAAGGACGAGCAGCGTCGGGGCCCCTGACCGGGGGCCGACACACAGTGCAAGGGGGGGCCCGCCGCGCGGCTATGTCCGTTGTTGTTATTGTTATTGTTCAACTAGTTATTTGTTACCCATGCCAGGTGAACTTCCTGTCCCATTGGTTGCTGGCAAATCAGCTGATGGGTGTTGAAAGAGATCGACGCGTCGCCGCCGCCGTTGCCGCTGACGCACCGGCGGCGGCGGCGGTAAGCAGTGCCGCACGCGCCGGTGGCGGATCGACGCGTGTGGTCGTGGTGACGAGTCTGACTCACCGGGCGGGGCCACTCCAATGGCACGATAAGCAAAGCACACGCAGGTATGTACGGAAGGATACGTACGACGCCCCCGTGTACGGCACAAAGTGTACGGCGTTGCTGCAAACACGTAGGGCATCGCGTAGTCCGTATGTTATATATAAATGTCGGGATGTTCAGTGCTCGTACCCCTAGGGTTGCACGTGCATTACGAATACGAAGATAAGAAAGTCAATCCTCGGTCCTGGTGTTGGCACGTTAGCCATGTACAGTCTTACATGGATTTGCGGCAATGGGCTTTATCTCAACATCAATGTTGACGAGCGTGTTTATATTGACCCACATCACCATCACCATTGTGGCAAAGCAACAGCATGCATAGAGTCCACTGAATGCTGTTTGCTGTCCTTTGCCCTTGCACACTCCCTTCGCCCCCTTACTGCTGCCGTTGACGTGCCGTACAGTTACGAGCCGTTCCTGTCGTACGGCCTGTCCAAGCTCGCCAATATTTTAACGGCCAAGGAGCTTCAGCGGCGGTTTGACATGTGCGTGTGTGTGTATGTATGTGCGGTCGGGGAAGGGGGAGGGGTCGCTTTTGGGGGTTTTATTCCTGACATAAATGAGGGTGGGAGTAACTACGTGTGTGCACATTATTTCGTAACATACAACATTACAAACAAAATATTAAACGTGGATAGGTCGATGTACGAATTTATATCTTGTGTGGTCCAATTCTACATTTAATATAATAATTTTGTTGATCTGTTACGTATGAATAATAATTATAATGATTTGCCGCCTCCTTCGCCACCCTTAGCGAACTTTTTGACGGCTGTCCGCTACGTGACTTGACTCATCCCTGTCGTACATTTTCTCTTGTAGGAGCCCCGAGTACGGCCAAGATACGGCAGTTGCCGTACACCCAGGCCTTGTCAGTACGGATCTTGCGAACGGCTTTTTTGCGCATCGCAGTACGGGGTGGGCGGCGGACTCCCCGTTGAAGCCCCTCGTGGAGGCCGCGATGGAGGGGTTCGGTCAACTGGTAAGCCATCAGCGTTGTTGTGAGGTGCGCATTCTCATTTTAACCTTCCCTGATTTATCGTAGTGAACGATAAAATAAACTGCATCTTTTGACCTCCCTCTCTTTTTCTCTCTCTTCCTGTATGGCAGCTTGGCTTTATTCTTTTAATGCTTATATTTTATGCGTATATATTGTATAATTAACGATTTGTAAAAAGGCTTATGTAAGAATTTTCGGATCAAAATAGCGGTAGAAAATCGTGCTGCATTGTTTTAGAAAGACGTATATTTTATGCACATTTGTGCGAATCGTCTGTCCCCTCTGTGCCCGTGTGTGTGTGTGTCTTGTTCAATCCGCTGGCCGTCGGGATGGGGTGATCGCAGGTCGGGCCGCTGTTGATGCGCACTCCGGAGCAGTCGGCTGCGGTGATGCTTCACGCCTGCCTGGCGCCGTCAGCTCGTGTGGCGGGGAGCTACCTGGCCCTTGGCAGGACTGCGCAACCGGACCAGGTACTGGCGGGATGCTTTTATTATTTTTTGAAGGCCGCTTGCCGCCTCGGCAATGTTGAAATTGAAATTGATGATCGGCTTGGACGCTCTTTTCCTGCGTATAATAGGTTTGAAGTTCTTTCTAGATTTTGTTTTCATTTTTCAGAATCTTACTTTTGATTCAAAAGCTTTCAAAGCTGCTCAAAAGTCTTGAGAGCCGCTATGTCCAATATTTCTATTTTTATAGGGTATGTATGTATGTATGTATGTATGTATGTATGTATGTATGTATGTATGTATGTATGTATGTATGTATGTATGTATGTATGTATGTATGTATGTATGTATGTATGTATGTATGTATGTATGTATGTATGTATGTATGTATGTATGTATGACGTTGATTACACTATGGGCTGAAAAGCCGGGGGCCCAGGGCCGAAGCACAGCGCGGGGGGCGGGTGCATACGGCTGGTTAGTCTCATGCACTCCGCCCCCGGGTCAGGCCGCACGGGAAACGACGGCCGGCACGCAACAGCGCTTGTTTGGCGCTCCAACTAGACGGGATCTATGCCCGTTGGTCTCCTAACATAAACGAAGTCGCAACTGGGGGGCTCTTCCTGCCGACCGAACGAACCGAGCATCTCAGAGAGCTCGCTACCAGGACTTGGGCGACCGGGAGCCCGACGAGTCTTCCCGGGCTGGGGAGGTCACCAAGCTCAAAAATCCTCACGCAAAAAAGAGCGCAAAGAGCTCACACCACAAGACGCCAAACAGCCTCCTGAGACTACTACCCTCCTCCGCCTCTCCCTCCCTGGGCTAGTCCAGGGGAGATAGCCCCCGTCGAGGGGGTAACACCGCACAAGTCCGCGCCCTTCCACAGCACTGGGTCTAAATTGAAAAGTACTCAAACGGGAAGACCCTGCGGCAACGCCGGGCGATCAAGCCTCCGGAAACCACAGGGGGGGGAGGGTAGCCAGCTCGGCGCCCCCCCATACCGCTCTACCAAGACGGCTGGTTCCCAAGATCCTATCTCACCTAGACGCCGCACCACGAAAAACCCGGTCTCGAACCCTGAAGAAACTAGTCCTGCACCACGCGCGCACCTTCGAGTACGGCCCCCCCCTCTGGGTGCCCACCTCCCCCTCATCCGCGCCCTCGNTACGGCCACCTGTTTCCACTCACCACTCCTCAACCCTACATCTCTTGGTGTACTCTCTACCTCTTCCCCTCCCCCCCCGGCTCTCCCCGCCCTTCCCCGGTCTCCCCCCCCTCCGCCGGTACGGCTCCCCCAGGCAAATAAACCCTCCCTCCCCCATGTCCCCTTGCGCGGCACCCCCCCAAGCCCCATCCCTGATCCCGCCCCCCTCGCAACCTATCCCCTCAACCTCCCTCTCGACCTCCCTACCACCCCCACCACCTCAAAACCCCCCTCCGCGCCTCGACACCCTATCCCCTTATCCCCTAAACTCCAGCTCCCGCCGCGTCCGCTTGACCATTAGGTCGTGATGTCCACCGCCTCCGCGCAGCGCAGTGCTCCCCCGACGATTGACAGGATCGGGTGGTGGGGTCCCACTCCGTCCCAGCCCCGCCTTGGGACATTAAGCGCGGTGAAAGAGCGCAAGCGCGCCCAGAAGTCCACTACTGCCCGAGCGCGGGCGTATTCCAGGGGGGTTGCTGCTGCTGTTGCTGCTGCTGCTGCTGCTGTTGCTGCTGCTGTTGCTGCTGCTGTTGCCGTCCCCGGTCCCGCGATGGGCCCCTGCGTTTATTTATGTATGTATGTATGTATGTATGTATGTGTATCCGTCTGCAGGCTGCGGAAGACACCTCGATGGCTTCGGAGCTGTGGCGGTACGCGGAGGAGCTCACTGGCCATACACACCACCCTTCACTGAAGGGCAGTTCAGCCGCCCTCCGCCCCCTCTCGTAGGACCCCACCGGGAAATCATCTTAATATTGTTAATTATTGTTATTGCGGCAGAGAGTGGCCGTCCGAATAGATGTAGGTACGACATTTGTACGGCATAAGTACGGTATAGTGAAGGAAGGCCTCTGGGTGGTTAACGCAGCGGACAACAGAAAGCGGTTGACAGATCTACGCGTACGAAAAAGCTGACGTAGGGAAGGAAGGAAGGACGGTAGTCAGGCGGTCGGGGCGGCATTATATATGTGGGTAGTGTGTTTGATGGCTGGTTAAGTTGGCTAACGATAGAGTATGTGCGGGAGCGCACGTGCGATCTTCAGTGATGTACGACATGTACGACGTTATGTTCGACGGAGGATACAGAAATTTACGTTATTTGGGTCGATTATGTTGACTAGGTTTTTGATGTGATGTGGTGGCTTGGCGGATAGAGGAATGAGGGTGAGGGTTGCGATGTACGAAGGCGTCACGAGATGGGTCTTCCTGGCGGCGGCGATGGTTGGTCACCGGCTTGGGAGCCGCGTGCTTGCTTGCCACCCAAGTGCTGCTGCAGGAGAGGAAGGGTTTGCGTGACTTGGCAGGCGATCAAGTGCTCAAAAGACGTGTGAGAGGCGAAAACGAAAGTATGTGTGTATTTTCGATGAAGCAGAGGAAGGTAAAATATTGTGCAACCGCGCGTGTGAGTTTTTCTTTTAAAGTATGAGTTTTTATGCAATAAAACAATTTTATAAATGCAAATTGGTGAATGCGATTTGCTTCATACACTTTGGTTAATATCTGTGCTGTCATAGCGCTTTGTTGTCGCTCCAGATCGACGACTGAATATAATACCGTGAAAAGCCAAAGTTATGCGCGCCCCTTCCTCTTCCCGGCCCGGCACTTTGCAGCTGCAATTGTCGCCAGTCATTGCAGCTACACGCCTTCTGCCGGCTCCGAAAAAACGCTCTTCTTTTCCCACTATAAGGAAAACCCAATCATCACACACACACAACATGTACACACTCACACACTCTCTTCCCCAGCGCACCCGCCAGCACCGCTCACAGCCTTCCGGCCCCCCATTCACCCGCTCACCCCAACACCCGCCAGGCTACCCCCATCCCACATAACCCTCATGCAAACCCACGGGAACCCTAAAGAAACTGCCGGTGATAAGCCGGAGAGAGGAGGTGGGGATGATGTCAAGTCAACAGTCCAAGGGGGTAGCCCCTCCAGGCATTTCATCCGTGTGATATTTACTAAGTACGGCGATGATTCAAGAGTCTGGCGCCCCGAAGCCTAACATTCATACCACACCCCCGGCGCTCCTTCTTCCTCTCCCCCTCCCCCCTCACACCCCCGGCGCTCCTTCTTCCTCTCCCCCTCCCCCCTCACACTCCCGGCGCAGGCTTGCTAGCTGAGGTGCCCAGGTAGCACCAGGCGGCCACGTTGAGTCCTAACACCACCCAGGGAGTCACGGCCTCCACAAACTGATGGAGGAGTCACGATGAGGGGATGGGGAGGAGAGGGGGAGGGAAGGAGGGGAGGGTGGGGGAAGGAGGGGAGGCGAAGGGGGGAGGGCAGGAGGGGAGGGGGGGGGAAGGAGGGGAGGAGAGGGGGAGGGAAGGAGGGGAGGGGGGGGGAGGAGGGGAGGAGAGGGGGAGGGAAGGAGGGGAGGGGAAAGGATGGATAAGGACGGGTAAGGACGGGTAAGAAAGAAGAGAGGAGGGAGGGAAGAGAGGATGGGTTAAGGACGGAGGGAGCTAACTTTGTGGATGCTAACTTATTAAAAAAGGTCCTAAAATAGGAGAGGACGAGAAGGAAGGAATTTCACGATCATCGTATGCTTCCCGCCCGAATCATCAAAAAATTAAATCCAAAACAAACAGGAAGAGGGTAATGGTGGTGGTGGACATTATGGCTGGCGGCCGTGGATGGATGGATGGGTGGATGGTTTGGTGGGTAGATATTCGCGTGGACGGGGCCAATATCGCGTGGGTAGAGGGTTTCGACGAAGGGAACGGGGGAGGGGTATTACCCCGTGAGGTGAGGGCCCTAAGAAGCAGGACAATCCCCACATCCCGCTACCCCCACCTCTCCCTCGTGTCCTCTCCCCCCGTTCTCTCCTCCGCGCTCTCCCACCTCTTCCTTCTCCTGGAAAGGTGTTAAATGGTGCTTCCCTTTCCCTCCGTGCCCTGGATGATGGCCTTGATGACCATGTCCTGCGGCACTTTGACCGTGCTGGCCATCGAATCCGTGTTTCTGCTGCTGCTGCTGCTGCGGCTGCTGCTGCTGCTGCTGTTGTTGTGGGGGCTGGGCGGCCTCAGGGGAGGGCGGGGCGTGGGTGTGGTGTTGGTGCCGGTGGCCGAGCCGACTGGTGCCAAACGCCTCGTTACTGACGGCCTTCATGAGACGTTGGGTTTGCAAACTGGGCGTAGTGGGCAGCGAGCTGCCGTCGTCTCTGCAGCCAGCCGGCCCGGCAAGGAGGCCGAGAAATCAGGGGCGGAGGGAACAGGGGCAACAAATGCATTTAGGGTTTTAAGTCATTTTAAGTCAAGGACGAGGCGGTGGAAGGGGTGATGGAAGAGGCGGTGGAAGAGGCGGTGGAAGGGGTGATGGAAGAGGCGGTGGAAGAGGCGGTGGATATATCTGGGCAGGGAAAAGAGGCGAGAGGCGGGGTATATAAGTCGCACACACTTGAACCAAAGAGAGGCGGGTTTTAGGGGACAACGGCCGACGCGACTACTATCCACGGTGAGGAAGGGGAAAGGGGAAAGAAAAGGCGGGTAGGCCGAAGACGTTGGCAGACGATTGACGAAAAGATAAACCCCGACTCCAGAGAGCGAGGGTTACGACAAACCACTGACGAGTACCACTAATACACGAGTGCAGCAGATACCAGAGAGATAGACGGAGTACGGGAAAGGCTGAAATACGGCAATCACGGTGGAGGTGATACAGATTAGATTAAGCTAGTAGATCCAGATTCAAATCCAGATCCAGACGAGATGGATATGGATTTAGATTTCCTCCCCTTCCTGACTGTTCCTCCAGGAGTACTTCTTCCTTCCTCCCCGGCCCCCCTTCCTCCAGCTGGCAACTGCTCTCCGCATGTTCGGACGGTGGTCAGTCTCCCCCTCGTGCTGTTCTATGCTTCTATGCAGTCGGCAGTCTGCCCTCCCCCCTGCCCTCCCCTGCCCTCCCCTGCACTCCCCTCCCCTCCCCTCCCCC